CGACTCAGCCTCTAACAGAAATGAGTACCAGGAATCTTCCTGGGAGTAAAGGGCGGCCGACGTGTAAGGCTGACAACCTCACCGCCATCTGTGGGCCGATTGTCTAGAAAATGTGGGAACCTCGACGTCTCACAACTGTTACAGGGATAGCTTTACATTTTTATGTGGATGTGCCTGAGTATTTAGCACCGATGCGTCAGTTACAGAGCGTATTTACTTCAGGAAGCTTGAGGGAGAAATTGATGGTCGTGGTGTAGGGTGTTCTGTTTAAGGTTGGCAACAAGTGAGAAGTGCAACATTGCGATGAATCCTTCATGAAGATACCCTACCGCACAGTGAACACAGTGTATCTGTGCCACAGCACGGGAATCGTACGAAACACACGAATACATGTGTGGGGAAAATGTACAGTTTTTAATCTTAAAGAAATGTAGGTGGTGTATACAGGGTGTTTCACGACTTTAGGGCATAACTGCAGGAGGTGATTTCCTGGGTCTTTGTGATCAAAAAGGTTCATATAAACATCTGTCCGATTTTGGACGGTTACGGAGTTGTGACCGTTTTTTCATTCCCGTACACGCCCTCGTGTGAACCGCGTTTATCATCTGGCAGGTCGCTATCTTTAGCCAGCTACAGACAGAGCGTTCTCGTTATCTCGACACTTGAGAGGTACCTAAGGCGTGGTGGGTTGGTATATACCCGCGCGGTTCACAACCGAGTGGCAGCCTGTGTTGCGGCCGGCGGCGGCATTTTCGAAAATCGGCTTTAAGCACCAATAAATTCAAATTAAAGGTAATTTCACGAAGTTAACTGTACATTCATACTTTAAATGTATCATGTATTATGCTGGTTTACTATTTTGTTCCGTTTATTGTCAGTAATCGTTACCTTCTATTCTGAGTTTAAAACGGTCATAACTCCGTAACCGTCCAAAATCGGACACATGTTTATATGAACTCTTTTGATCACAAAGACCTGGGAAATCACCTCCTGCAGTTATACCCTAAAGTCGTGAAACACTCTGTATAGATACGACCGCAATGAAGTTGCATGTACAAGGGTTCGAATTCCGCTGGGTGTGGCTTCCTCCGTTGTCCTGTTTGTCGAAGCCGTAGATCGGTTAGTAGCCCTGAAGTCAACGTCCCAGGCGGACGCTGGACCGTGTTACGTCCGTGTACAAGTACAGCTGCTCAAGGCCACGTTGTCTTGCGTAATGCAGCGTCACAATGGAACGAGGTTCCGGCTTGACCACTCCAGTTCCGGTAGGCCCAATGGAAGGGGGGCGGCAGGATCTGAGAGTTGCACATCGCGCCGCTGGCATGGCACGTGTAGGCTATACAAACTGCTCTCCAGATTGTCAAGTTTCCCTGATCTGACGCTCTCACGTGACTTGAAACCTACGTGTACTGCAGCGACCCTGGGAAGATCGCCCCTTCTGTTTAATTTCCCTTACAGAGAAAACTGTGCTAGACATAAACGTGTGTTCACTTTGTCTCAATAACGTTTATTTGAAACCTTTAGCGACTTACTCTTCGTGTAAAGAGTCAGTTATTGTTGCCCGATTATAACCAAAATTGGAATGAGGCCACGGATTTCAATAAAATTCCCAAGTATCAAGTTGTATGAATATCCGTTAAGCGGTTGCATAGTTGTTTGCGCACGCGCACGGCGGTCCCACAGTGCGTGGCCCGCATTATATCTTAGGGCAGGCTATCTGGGGCAATGGCTTTGTCAGTTTACTCGTCGTCGTGGTTATGAAGTTTTGCAACGCTGGGAAAGAGGTAGACACGAAGACAAGATCATGGCTCCACATATAGGCAAATGGCTACAGGCTGGAACGGGCTGTACACGTATTCAATTAAGAAACTACCGAATTTATGACTGCTTGTTTGAGCGAAGTAAGGACTGGCACTTTTCACAAATTGGTTATTCTTGAGTTGGGCAAGTGACACATAAGGTTTGAGATTTTTGCTCATCGACGTATGTACGAAATGGGCAGTGAGTTCTTTCTCTTCAAAAGAGCGCAGGTTGGAAGTGTAACATGCTGTTTATAAAGAAGCCTCCGCGGACCATAGGTTGAGAAACGCTGCTGTGTATGTTCCGTATTTCCGTATGTATACAGCACAGAGCAACAGACACGACCTGGACAGGAAGGCAGGCATATGGCCAGACACGTGGGTCCTCGTCACCACTGCATGGCGCGCCCTCAGGCTGCGGATGGAGGGCAACTGCGGACAGCCCACGAGGGGGGGGGGTTCCTCCAGATTGGGGGTTGGGCGTGGGGATTTGGCTCCTCGCCGTCAAAAATCAATTTGTTACAAAATGTTAAACAAGGCATTGAGCTTGGACTGATTTTTTGAGTGCTGTTGTGAGCAAGGTAGTGAACCTTCGGGTTCCATAAAATGTTGAGAAATTTTTGAGTAGGTGGGTGACTGACGGCCCCATAGAGTTCGTTAGGTTGCAGTTAGTTCCAGAAACAGCTTTTATTGCCTTCACTGCGTAGGAGAGCAGGACGCACGTCACGGGA